CGCCTGACCCTTACCTCCTGCCGCAGCTTCTTCAGCTCCGCCTCCATGGCCTGGACTTCCTGCTTGTAATCCAATAGCTGCTCGCCTTTGTCTTCCCTGCAGGAAGAAGGAAGTGAGAACGTCGCCACTTGAGTTCCAGGGGGTCCCCCCCCCGCCGTCCCGCCTCCCGCCGCCCGCCGCGGTCACTCACAGCTCCTGCCTCAGGCGGCGCAGCTTGGCCTTGCTGTCCGCCAGCTGGACGCTGAGGCCCTGCGAGGCGTCGTCCAGCCTGGCCAGCGAGGGGGGCAGGAGCCCCGTCTGGGCCTGGAGAGACTCCTGCTCCTGACACAACTCGGCAATCCGCTGGGAAAAGGAGAGAGAAAGCCGGGGCACTCCCTAAGGATATCACCACGAGGATGTTAATTGCTGGCAGCAGCAGTGCTATTACTAGATCAGATAGGGGCGTTTCCTAGCAACAGTAAATTTTATTAAAAGCTTTACCACTGCAATGCCCTCCGAAGCTGAAGAGAGTGGCCCCACAGCATAGAGATCTCGCAAACAGAATAACACCAGGCCCAAAACAGAGCACACACAAACACAGCAGTACTGCTACAGCGCACCAGGCACAGCAGGAGGCCCGTGCCTGCTGCGCAGGGCCTGCTGCAGACGCTGGCGCCGCTGGAGACAGACGGCCCGCCCCCCCCACTGCGCCTGGGGTTCGAGGCTGCAGGTACCTCCAGGTACGAGTCCCTCTGTGCCAGCAGCCCCTGGATGTGCTGGGCCATGCTGGTGAACAGGTCCTGCATCTCAGCGCACCCCAGCCCAGACAGCTCCCCCCACTGGAGGGGCAGCACGTTGCGGGGGTCCTGGGTCACCTGTGGGGAAGGGACAGAGATTCAGGGGTTTGGGGCGCAGGCACTGTGTGTCGTGGGGGTGCCAAGGGGCCGCAGTGCAGCAGGCTCCTGGCCCACCCGAACGCAGGACCAACATGTCAGGAGACCCAACATTAACGAGCTCATTTCACCATCCGCTGTTGCGATCAAGCCCGATCCGTCATTCAGGATCCCAGCCAGACTGCTCTCCCCCCGGACCACCAGACTCAAGAACAGCTGCTGCCCCCCTGCAGTGCCCATCCGCAACAGCTAGTGCAGGGCCTCGGGTCTCTCACTACTACACACCTGCTGTCCCGCAGGATATCTGCTGTCCCTGCTGTTGTCATTCCTGCCTACACTGGGGAGAATATGAACTGCAGTGTACGGGTCCACATGCCGATAACCTCCTCCACTACCTCTCTACCTCTGCCAACGAGCTCCCCTTGCGGAGCACCGCCGAAACACTGCTCAAAGTGGCCCGCAGACGGCCGCCGCGGTCCCTACCTCCTGGATACAGCCGGCGAGAGCTGCCTGCGTGTCAAGGTCCAGACGCTGGATCTGCTCGACGAACTCCTCCTTCCTCTCGCACTGGGAACACAAGGGGCACAGCTGTCACACAGCAGGCACTTCGACCACAGACCTCCAGTGTGTCGGAACCAACGTACTGGTATCAGAAACCCCTCTGTCTGTACTGGAGTGTCAGAGTCAATTTCTGTGTCAATATCAGTGTGTCAGCATTGGTATCAGTGCATCTGTATTATCATATCTGTGTCAATATCAGTGTCGGCATTAGAATATTGGTATCAGTATCAGCACATCAGTATCAGTGTGTCAGTATTAGAATATCAGTATCAGTGTATCAGTATTAGAATATTGGTACCAGAGATTCAGTATTAGAATAACAATACCAGTGAGTCAGTATCAGTATGAATGACTCAGTAACCACATCGCCTGACCTGTACAGCACAGCCCAGTAACAGGAGCAGGAGTCTCCTCAGTTCCTCCACAGCGGCCTCTGATGAAGACAGACAGGCGGTCAGACAGACAGGCGGTCAGACAGAAAGAGAGAGAGCCAGGCAGCGGGA